TAATGATTTTTTTCATGAAATCTTTTGAATTTTTTTATGCATAAAATACTATTATTTACAAATAGTGACAGTTTTATTTCTTCCCTTCCTATTTGGATGATACTTATTTCTATTTTTGTTTATTTGCTCTGGCTAAACAAAGTCCTAGCTTTGGCTAGGACTTTCAATACTATGTTGAATATTATGATAATAGTGAGCATCATTGTCTTATTCATATTACAGGAGAGCTTTCAGTTTTTTACTATTGTGAATGATGCTTGCTGTGGGTTTGTCAAATATGGCCTTTATTATGTTGCAATGCTGTCCTTTTTTCGTTTTATTGAGAATTTTCATCATAAATGAGTGTTGAATTTTATCAAATGGTTTTTCCACATCTATTGAGATGGTGGTATGTTTTTTATCTTTTATGTTGTTGATATGGTATATCAAGTTAATTGATTTGTGTAGGTCAAAATGTCCTTGCATTTACAGAAGAAATCCTACTTGATCACTGTGTATTACCCTTTCATAAGAGAATATAGAATTTATGTGAAACTATAAAAAAACCCCAGTTGCCAAAAATATTACAAGAAAAATAGACTAAAACGGAGTTATCATTTTGCCAATTTTTTGTTGAGAATTTTTGCATCTATATTGGTTTATGGCTTTCTTTTTTATAATATACTTGTTTTCTATGAATAGAGATTATACTTTTAGTTCTTTTAGACTTGTTAAGCTTTGCTTTATGGTACATAATATGGCTTATCTTGATGAATATTCCATGTGTACCTGTAAGGAATATACTATTATTATGTAATTTTTCAAGTACTCAGATACTTGTTCCATTTATTATATGCAGGCTTATAGTTCCATTTATTATATGCAGGGTTATATTCCCCATAAAAGACAGACAGAGTAGCGGTTCCTTTATTTTACTTAGAATACGAACCCTTATCAATTTGCATGAATTTTTGTTTTCAAATAAATCCTGGATTCTGAAGTATTCTGTACAAACTTTTTATGGTTTAAGAAACTAAACAAGATAAAAGTGATGATGCAAATAACTGGTTTCTTAATAAATGCTATGTATTTTCCTGTAAAATGGGATAATGACTTGTGTCCTGCAAAAGCTCCTTTGTCATATCTCAGGTGGGCATAGATGCAAAAACTGCTCAAACCTTATCAGTAAGTTCGAGAAGAGTAAAGGGAGTATTCAGATGGGATCAGGACTCATGGAAGAAATTTGGCTGCTGGTCTAACTCCATATTGTGACGGCCATCTAGCCTTATGCCTTAATGGCCAGGTTTTGGATAGGCATTGTTTGAGATAGCAGGTTATAGCAAATGGCAAGTATCATCCAAGATTAAAGCAAATGATACCAGTTTTATATTTATAGAAGGTTTATGGTGTAAGATCTTATAGATGACAAAATGTAGGTTCCTAGAAATGAAATCTGGTAACCACTGTGTTGGGGGTCGAGGTCCCATCCAGACTGGTGGGCTTCATGGGCTTCATGGATTGGCTGTTATCTGCGTATGGAACTGTATGTGGAAAATGGAAACTAAGGGAGAAATCTAGTGCTGTGGCATGGTCAACTGCTGCTGTAAAAGGGAAGTCTAAAAAAATGGTGATTCAGATTTAACACCACCCTTGAACATCATCTTGTTGCCTGCTGGCTCAGTGAGAGTATCCACTGGTCAGGGCTGACTCAGAGGTAAGGAGATCTTGAAGCTTATTGAGCCTAGAGAATGCAGACAATAGAAAGATTACTATGTAAGAAATAGCTATTATCTTGCTAAGTATATGTTAGCCACCATCAGTCTCATTTGTTGATAACACAGAGCTAAGTATGTATTTGGAAGTTCATGCTAGATGATATAGCCATCCTAGCTGATATACTGAGGAATGGTGGCATAAAATGTGAGAGAAGTAACAACATATAGGAGGGGAAGTATGAGCATGGTCATATAGTAAAGAATAAGAAATATGCAGCAAAAGCAGACTAAGAACTTATTATATGTATGTTTCAATCATCTGCCACAAGGGCAGAGTCTTTTAAACCTCATCAAAATAATCTAAAGCTTGGTCATAAATCAAACCATGAGAAATCAAGCATTATTAGGCAGCTTTTTTTGCTTTCTGATAATTTTCCCATCTCTGAAAATATCAGTGTCCCTTTCCCCCATGAAACAAGCATTAAAAGGGTATTGCTAGTTGCAATAATAACATTCTGAGACAGAATGCAGGGCGATGTTAAATGAATCAGTCTTCTCTGCAAGGTTTCAGACCAGCCAACCACTTCCCACTCACCTAGGTTCTTTTAGTGTCTCAAAACCAGCCTGAACAGCTAAGTTTTCTTTCTAGTCTGCTTTATTCTAATTCATCACCAGGCAGGGTTGACCCTGGATTTGTGTTCACACACAGGTTATCTTTAGATAGCTTTACCTTGGTGTCCTGACTCCTGTTGCCCCTGGCATAATCCAGTTACACATGGGAATATCAATTAAGGCCCTCAATCACACTAATTAGAATGTACTCTAAGTGTTGCCTCAAGAATTCAGCAGCTTATATGCAGGCAAGTTGGGGAAATCTAGAGGTATGAGTTTTTTTTTTAATAGTCAAAAGCAATTTAGGAGGCTAAAGTGCTTTAACATGGGCTTGAAATTGCTATGCCCTGAATCTATAATAAATATTTAGTTGCTCTCTGTTGACAAGGATTAATGCTGAATTATTAATTACTTTTATTAATGACTTATATGGGAATATAGTGGCATGCTGATCAAGTTTATAGATGATACCAAGGCTAGAGGGATAGCAATTATTATGATGCCAGATTCAGGAGCCAAATGATTTCAAGACAAGATTTAGTGGCGATCCATCCAGCAGAAGCCTGGAAGAATGATCTTCATAAGGCACGGCTTGATGATCACATCACTCCTCTAATCGAAAACCTTCAGTGATTTCTTATTTGTTGTTTATATTTAATTCCAAGTCCGCAGCCTGTTATTCTAGGCCTGTTCTGATCATAACATTCCTTGCTTTCCAACAAAATCTTCTATTTTTTTTTCCTTACATGCTGTTTTTCAGCCAATTGCAATCATTTATAGTCACTTTCCTATTTATATTCTATGCTTTTCCTATTTTGAGCATCATTATCCACCATGTTTCTTTTCCTTATGCTTTCCTCCTACCTCAATTCATAATTTCCAAGCCAGTTATTGCTCAGTTTAAAAACTACCTCTCAAAAAAATAAACGGAAAAAAACTACCTCTTGTGTTGATGCTTCTTTGATTGCCTTGGCTGGAGTAATCTCTCTCTTTTGCTCAACTTCAATAACACTTACCTGTTCCTTTCTGACTATTTTTATCACTGTTTACTTTGTATTGCAGTCCTTTTTTTTTTTTTTGGTACACACTTCAAGTCTCTTTTACACTCCACCTAGTGCTAGAGTTTTTGTCTGATAAATCCTTTCATAGCCTGGTGCTTCTACATGTATATTACTTATAGTAGGTGATATTGAAGTGATTTGCATTTGGTTTATTTCCTTTCTTTGGAGAAGCAGCCTTTAGAGGTAACCCTCCATCTTGCTCATCAGAGCCTTGTGAAATTATATCATAGTGACTTGTAAACAGAAAGTGCTCAACACATACTTTACTGGGTGGATGAATGGAAGGAAGGATTTCCCTAAGGCAATGGTATATGAAATGGAAGGGAATGGTGGTAGCAAGCCTGATACATTTAATCTCTGAGATCAAGTGGCTGTTTAATATGTAGTAAATTCACCTGTGATTTGTGTACAGTCATTAAGGAGCAAGCATAATATGAACTAGAGATTTTGATGCTATGCGGTCAAGAGAGTGATAGATGTTGGAAATTTGCATTGTGCTTTAAAGTGATCACACACTCTGTATTGCTTAGCAGTACCAGTACCAGTACATCCAGTTTATCCCTTTGTTTCAGTTAGTGTTTTTAAAATTATTCCTTTTAAAATGCTGTTGTTTGGTTACCCTGGTTATCAAATGTCCTATTGCCTCTCTGACCTTTTTAGGCTGGTGGGTCCTTGTGACTGAAACATGTGGCATAGGCTAATGTTTAGGATCATAGGGTTGGCCATTAGCCAGATAGGAGTATAAATCTCATCTCAGTTACCGAAACGATGATCTGAATAAGTGACTAAGACCTCAGTAAGCACCATTATCCATCTCTTGTGTCCTAAGCAAAAAAAGAAGCCTTGACTATACAATGTCTCAGTGATATTCAGGTTTCTGTTTTTAGAACCTTATGGAAGTTTTATCAGGGTCCAAATAAGTCTAAAGTTGTAGGAAAAGAAACATTTCACAGACTTTGATAAATCTCCAGCCCTCTGCATTAAAGATCACACGGCCAAATATAAGGCCATGACTCTTGCTAGTGGCTGTTTCAGTTGATTATCAACAGAAAGACTAAAGATCACAGAAACTGGACTCCAGCCTCATCATTTGTGCTTCTGGTGAGAAGAGGTGAACACTGGGCCATGAGGTTTATGTATTCCCCTGACTATCAATTTAGAGTGTGGTGGACTGCAGACCAAGTCTGAATCCAGGATTTCTAGACTTTCTATTCATTGCTAAGGAGGGAACAGTGCCTGGATCATATATTTCCAGTTGATAGTATCAACAAGCGAATTAAAGGAAGGTGAGAAATCAAGCTTATCTGCCAGAACTATGATTTTTTTTTTTTTTAAGTAAGTTGTTATAGAGGTGGGTCTAAAACAAGATTACTAGAGTTTGGTTATTTTCTGTGCTACTTTCTAACCAAAGGATTTGGTTATGTTTTTTAAACTTACTCAATTTCTCCATCTGTAATAAGAACATTTAAATACAAAGTCTTTCTTATTGGCTGGTTCTGACAATTAATCCTGTTAATATTGTAAAATTCTTAGAGTATTTACTAGTCAATAATCAGCATGTTTTTACACTGAGTATTATTTAAGCAATGAGAGTAATAAGTACTCTTCCTTACATCTGTATTTATTTTGACAGGATGGGACTTCTGTGGTGTGTTGTGAGCCTCTGCTTCTATGGGATCCTGCAAAGTGATGCCTCAGGTAAGTGATTGACCTTGCTAATCTATTACCATGCAACTCAGGCATAGGTTAATGTGTCATCTTTCTATGAAAGTGAGTTAAGAAACTTTATTTGTTGATGGGAGGAGCAGCTGACATCTCTAATCTTCATGGGGTTATAGTACACTTGGGGCAGTGGTCTAGCATATAAAAATGCAGGAATTACCCATCACCTTCACATCCAAGCATCATAGAATTCTGCTTCTTTCCCTTATTTCAGGACCCATGGGAAAAGAAATGACAGTGATGGTAGCAGGACTCTGTTCTCAAAATCAGTGGTGGAGATAGTCTCAGTGATAACAGTTCATTGAAACCTTATAGAAACAAATACTATTATTATACAGGAAAGAAAGGACCTGACACTTGAGTCATTCTTTCTTGGATGTTGCCTCATACGGGGAGCTAGACAAAGACTAATGAGTCTGAATACCCAAACTCAGTCATCATGGACCTGTATCTTATGAAGTCAAAGTTATAAAGGTCTTGAAAGGCCATCTTTTAGGTCTCTTCTCATTTCCAAAATTACTGCTCAGAACCCTTCTATAGTAACTCTGACTAGTGATCATATAGTTATGTCTCTGGACTGAGCAAATTCTTAGAAAGTTTCTGTGCATATAAATGAAATTTGTCTATCATTTGCATATTACATGTATTTGGTTCAACTGCTTGATTTAAACAGAAAGGACCTAATCCTATGGTTCTCTAATGTTAATATAGGGAAGTTAAGTCTCTTCATTTATAAAAACTTCCCACATATAAAAAACTTCCCACATATAATTCTCCTGAAGATCATGGACCATATTTTGAACATTATTGCTTCAATACCTCTTCTGTGTAAGAGACCTTAAGATATGAAAATAAGGATCATGTAACTCTGCCCAGTGTTCTCTAGTCTGTACCTTCAACTGTTCTTGCAAGGCATGGAACTGAGCCCTGCAGCAAATCTGGTTATCTTTCCTGGGAGTGTTTCAGCTTTTCTATGCCATTTAAAGCATTTTATTGGAAACCAAAAATAGTGCTAAAGGAGGGGTGTAACTAGGGCAGAATACAACACAAAGCTGAGAAAAGTCGAGCTAACTTTCAACCTTGTTGGCCCTTGGGGCTTCCCACAGGAAGGGATGTATTACGACCCAGGCTGATTCAGCTGGGATGTAGCTGATCTATAGCTTCACTGTCGGAAAGACCCACATCTTTCCTGCTTGATTGAGTGTTCCATTTAATTGGCCAGTGTCATGCTGTCCTGATTTTTAAATATGTTGAACATAACCTCTGATTATAATTTGTTCTTATTTGATTTAGTTCTATGCTTGAATATTATCTGCTTACAGAGGCCTTCCTGAACCATCTTAACTAAAACAGCCCTGCCAATCATTCTCTCTTCTTTATCCTGTTTTAGTTTTATTTATAATACTCACATTTCTTGATGCTATATTAACTTTCTCTTCCACCTTCCTACCTTTCTTTTCCTTGTACTCCTCCTATCCTGCTCTCATTTACTCTCCTTCTTCCTCTCCCCCTCTTACCCACTTCTCCCTCCCTCTCCAACTCCCCCTCCTCCCTCTTTCTTCCTCTTTTTTCTATTTTATTTTTTAAATTTTATATATTTTTACATCATTTTTCATTTTTGTACAATATATGCATTTTCATCTTGGTTATAGTCCCCATACAATTCCCACCCCCTTGCTCCTGTAGTCTCTTGATTCTCCTTTCTTTTCTCTTTCTCTCTTACCCTCCTTTTCTCCCTGTTTCTATGCTTTAAAGCTTCCTAATGTAGGGCCTCCCATGGTAGCGCAGTGGTTGAGCGCTGGGCTGCGAAGCTGCCCGCAGCCTCTGCAGCGCCAGTTCGATCCCTCAGTCTGTCTGTTCTGCTCCCCACTCTGGCTCTGGTGAATTCTCTCACCTTCCTGCACTTCTGACTGTACCCAGTGCTTGTGTAAATAAGTAAATAAATCTTTAAAAATAAATGAATAAAAAAAATCTTCCTAATGTCAGGGACTTCCCTTTTTGTTGTTTTGGAGGAATGATTGACACATAGATACATAGTATAGTGATACTCTCTCTCCCCCAAGGTTATCTGTCTATCCACATATATGTATACACATGCATATATATAGATATATGTGTACAAACACACACACATATGAAGATATCTATCTATATATGTGTGTGTTAAGTGGATTTTGCACAATCTGGCCAGTTTTAAAATGGAACTTGTTTGGTTTATACCAATAATTTATCAGTTCCTCCACCTGGCAGGAAAAGGGAGAGTGGAGCATATTAGTCTTGCGGAAAGGTCGTGAAATCCCAGAAGTTGGTGGGTGCTGGTGCCCGCCCCAGCGGCCCCTGCAGTTTTGCTTCTCTGAATGACTTTGACTGTAATCCATCCAAGGAGCTCGTCCACCCCCACCCCAAATGTTGTTGGAAAGTGAGCTTTCTACCCAGGAACAGTGACTCATAATTCTGCCGGGGAAGCTGAGTTCTTGAATAAGATAAGTTCTCATACCAGCCCCATTGAGTCACTATGGGGGCAGGAAACATGTTGTAATCCCCTCAGCCCATCTGGCACATATTCATTTGCCTTCCTTATGAAAAGGTATATTGTGTCTGAGTCAGTGATGCACTTCCTAGTTGGAGGGAGTGGAACAAAAAAGAAGTGTTGACAAAAATAAAAGGGGCAACTGACTGGGTGACTGGGGGAAAAACGGGTTCACTGCACATCCTGAGGGACCAACTGACCTGGAGTGTGTGAAGGTGTCCCTCGTGCAGTGATATGGTGCCGGCTGACTTGTCCGTCTCTCATGAGGCTCTTTCTGTGCTTCAGGTACCCATTTTAATGGGCTTGATATAAGGATAAAGGAAAAATAACCTTATGATCTTAAAGCACATTAGATATCACTACACAAGATATTACTAAGAATTTTGTCTTGTTCTTGGCCCTTCTGTATCAACCCTTCTTACAAGGAAAAGCCCAATTTCAAACTGTAAATAGCACCGGAAGAGGTCCAAGCCCGTATGTGGTGTTTCAAGTATAGTGAACTGGATTTCACGGCACAACATTCTAGCTTGAGAACATAGTCATTATGTAGTGGTGCTGTGATTTCCATATTCACTCAGGAATATGGAGGCAACATTTTCATCTCAGATGGTGACAACAAAAAATAATCAAAAAGTCCCCTGTATTTTCTCTTAAGAAATTAAAGCTTTGAATAGTTACAATAGTGATTAGTGTTATTGTCATGTGGTAGTTATGGTGGTGATAGCAAAGCTCCCTTTGCTAAAAGAAAGCACCTTTAGTTTTATATACTGGATGTCATTTTAACTCTCACACCCAAATCAAGTAGTCAGGCTGTTGTACCCCTTCTGTCTCCATTTTTATAGCTATGCAACACTGTATATGGTTCAGAGGATCACACCTTTTCAGATGTGTATTGCCACATTTACCACCATGGCACCCATAGTCCTGCCACCATAGTCCACTGGGCCCCCCCACACTCTTTACAAGATCTAAGATCCAAGCATCAAAATGGTTAAATGATTTACCAGTGTGCATTCTTTGGTTATTTTCGGTCCATAAATAATTGATACCATCTCATATTGCCTTTCACTTTCTGACTTATTTCACTTAGCATAATCACCTCAAGACCCATCCTTTTTGTCCCCAAAGGTACTATTTCATCTTTTTAAATAACTGAGTACTATTCCATTGAGTATATGTTTCAAAATTTCTTTATCTACTTGTCTGTTGGTGGATACTTATGTTAGTTCCATGACTTGGTTATTGTGCATAATACTGCTATGAACATAGGAGTGCATAAACCTTTTCTTTTTTTTTTAAACTTTTATTTTAAGATTTATTTATTTATGCATACAATAACTGGGGAACAGGTCAGAGGTGTGGGGTGGGGGAGAAGATTCACCAGAGACAGAGTGGTGAGCGGAACAGGCGGATCGACTGAAATACACTGCTAAGAGGAGAAGCAGGTGAGACAGGAGACGTCTGCTGTGCCATGTGGGTTGCTTCCTGGCCAGGGATCGAACTCGTGCTTGCAGTGACTGTAGATGGCTTCATAGGTTGTGTCTTAACCCCTGCGCTACCAGGGAGGCCATTCCTTTTCATCTCAGAGTTTGACTATGTGAAAACTATACAGAGGGATTGGGGGGAAGTGGACGAGGAAGGGGAAGAAAAGATATAGGGCATTGGCATGGGAGTTTTGGTAAGGAGTAAATGAAACATGTATACATCTGGAGGTATAAAAATGTACCCCCATAATTATATTGATTTTTTTTCCAGGGGAAAAAAAGTAGTTAAGTGAATCACCCAAAGTCACACAACTAACACTTAGCATAAGTGTTACTTCAACTAATTCCCCAGTTTTAAAATTTCATGTTATTTTTGCTAAATATATTCCCCTTGGACTCTACCAGCATAGAAACAATTTAGAAAGAAGATTAGGATCCAAAAGGATCACAGGTTTTGCTGTTAAAGAATCACTTAAAAATAGGTTTCTGTGCTTTCTAGATAAGGAGTAACTTTACTCTCCCCAATCCTTACCCTTAAGATGTTTTCTTTAAGAGGAAAATCACTGTAATATAAGTTCAAAGCTCAATTTCCCATTTTTTGCTTTTTATAGTATTAAGCATTTTCAAACTAAACTAAAAGAAGTCCTCCTTTGCAAGAATTGCAAAAGAAAACTTCAGCTGATCACACATTTCTCTTGGTGTGTTTCATTGGCAGCATGTTAGAAAGTCAAAATGTTAAAACTGTCTTTGGAGTAGAAATAAATATTTGGAAGTTGTGATTTCAAGTTGGGGAGATATTGAAAATGGCACCACATATAATATGTGAATTTAAAAAATATTGTCATATCAAAATTATTTGCTACATGGACTGCATAAAAAGTGACAATGCATTTTCTTCCCAAGTGCACACACAGAGATGTTTAAATATAGTGTTTTATTTCAGAGACAACAAACTTGAACTT